TGTTGCAACACTTCTTCCGGTTATCCCCCTTCGGACGTACGGGGTACTTAACCCTGATTGCGCGTCCGTCCATGGTCCTGTTTTCAAACAACGCCGGGAACCCGGACGGCTGGGAGGAGCGGTTCTTCCTCGCCGAAGTGGGCTCCCCGATGCCATTCTCCGATAGGTGGAACGCCTACCCGGTGAAGTCCATTCCGCCGCCCATGACGGATGAGGTGCTTGGCTACGCCAAGCGCATAGCTGGTCTTGGCGTCCAGAAGTTGTCATATACTAGCTTTTAAGTTTCTTGATATATTTGTAAATAATTAGAACTCCAAGGATAATTATAATGGTCAAATGTTTCTCCTAAACCCAAACTACCCTCTTTCTTTTTCGCGAGCCCTGGATATTCCTATATTGATTCTAGATATTCACACAGGGTTCAAATTGGATAGTTCGAGTTCTGGGTGTTCTTTCGGGATTAAAATTAAGTAAATTAGTTTTCAATAAATCCTAGACTAGAATTAAATTATACTACGTATTATCACAATCCGAGGTTGTATTTCCATGGGACAAAATTCAGGCAAGCAGCGAACTTGGCAATTGAAAGGAGTGTTTGGGGTTGCTTAAAAAAGCACTTTTCAGCTTTTAGCTTAAAAAAAGTTGAAAAGAGTGTTTTCAAATGACAGCTTCTGCTTAAATTAATCACTTAAAAACTAAAAGCTGGAAGCAGGTAGAAGGGTGCTTTAAACTGCTTCTCACTTTTTCTATTACACAAAAAGTACTTATTTTACCAAACACTACCAACTTTTACTTTTTCAGAATCATTTTTTTCTCAAACACTACCAACTTTTACTATTAATCACTTTTCCCAAAATCACTTTAAAAAATCACTTTTTTAAAGTTGAAGCAATTGCAAACACTCCCGAAATCCGGCAAGAAAGGAAAGAAAAAAGTCAGACAAATAAGTTGCAGGCGTATTTAGTTCAGTTTCTTTCTAACTTTTTCTCGCTTCATTCTTTCATTCTTTCGTTTTCCCTTTCTTACTTCCTTTCTTGTCCCTGTTCAGTTTTATTTATTCTTGTTTTCCGGCGAACTCGCCGCCAATATCAAGGCATTGAGGTAATTGTCTACGAATTCACCGCTCACGTCAAGACCTTAAAGCGATTGTAGATGAATTCGCCAGCCATATAAAGACGCAAGACCTCTACTCTCTCTTCCTCTAGCTCTTTGGGATTCAGATACATGATTGTCGATGAACATTGAAGAAAGAAGACAGAACGAGCACCATGGACCTAAACGCCATTTTGCAGGCATCCATTGCTAGAGTTCTCTGTCGGAGACTCGGAGTCCGCCCCTGACTTCCAATAGCTGCTCATTGCTAGCGCCTAATTGGGGGGGGGTTAATAAAGGAGTAGATCAAACAACGAAAAGAACATAAGAGAAAAAAATATAGAATTGTGATAATATAATTTAATTCTAGTCCAGGATTAATTGAAAACTAATTTACTTAATTTTAATCCCGAAAGAACACCCAGAACTCGAACCATCCAATTTGAATTGAACCCTGTGTGAATATCTAGAATCAATTTAATTTTTTTTCTATTTATTTTTGCACTTACAATTAGTTAGTTTTTTTTATAACCACCCAAAAAGAATTTATTTGGAAAGATTGTCATAACTTGTGCTAGCTTGTGATCGCGGATCATATTTAAAACTTCCTTTTTGTCACTCCTTAAAGAGACGATACTCGTGGTCTGGTTATTCTTTGAATTAGCCAACTATGTTTCACTCACTAAAAATAATACTGATCAACTCCTATTGTCTTTTACACAATACAACACACATACCACATATCAGTGAACATAATTGTTTAATCGTCAATTAGCAACACTGATACGTTTGTAATTTCCGTATGTTTATTTACGCTTTTAGTTAGTTTTGATTGTTTAATATTTCGGAAATTACACACTTTCGGTGTAATAGTTTAGTTTGTTAAATTCTTGTAATTTGTTTAGATTAGGTTTATTCTGAGTTTAAACAGGTCCAAGATCAATCAAATGATCAATGGTGAAGGAAGGTGCAGGAGTACAAGACAAAAAGAAGGAAAAATCCTGATTATTGGTCTATACTCGGTCGAGTATATACATATACTCGATCGGGTATCTGGTTGACATTTCAAATCGGATCGGATCCGAAAACAAAGGAACATGCAGGAGAAGATTTTCCCACGTTCGAGTGTCTATACCCGATCGGGTATACTTATATACTCGATCGGGTATAGCTATAAAAACTACCCGAGTATTGATCGAGTATAGGGCGAATTCGATGTTCTACACATACTCGATCGAGTATGTATATATACTCGATCGAGTACTCGACCTGCACCTCAAAAAGCCTATAAATACACCTCCTTTCCTTCACTTTTAGCACTCCTTCTTCCATACTCTTAAGCTCAACTTAGAATAGTATTTCTTTTATATTTTTATAGCATGTTTAGTCTCTAAATGAGGAGCTAAACTTCCATTTCTTGGTATTGCTCTTGAAGCTTGTTGATTATTAAAGTTGTGAGTTATTTTCTTAACTTCTTTCCTTGAATATTAATTCTTTCTTCAAATGCTATTTCTATATCAATGTTGGGGAGTGTTGCTAAGATGACAATTAGTTAACATCTTGACATTAGTTATAGTAATAATCATTTCTTTCTCTATGTTAATATTGGGGAGTGTTACTAAGATGACAATTAGTTAACATCTTGATATTAACTATAGTAGGATTCATCTTATTTAATATTCTTCCTTGAGTATTAATTAACTCCTATTCATATTTCATATTAATATTTTGAACATTACTTAAAGGATCAACTAGTTTTGTTTCATATATTAATTACTACTAGATACGATCAACGAACCAATGGTAATCGTTGATGGTTTCACAAGTAAGTAACTTCGGTTTATTAATGCACGGTTGTGGTTAATAGACCTAAGAGGAATTAATTGTGTTGGTTAAACCAAAACCGCTTGTGTTGAGGTTATCGATCTCAATTGATTTCATCAAGGAGTTAAGCGATTAAATGCTACTATCAAGTCGGTATACGGCGCTTGTTCTATACTTGACTAATAGTAAGGGTTATTAATGAACGGTCGTTGTTAATAACTATCCTCGATGAATTGGATATACTCCTCGATTGAGTATTCGAGAGGAGATAAGTTATAGATATAACAATGATCGACTAAAATATATCAACAAGTGTAAAGTAGCAATACCAAGTCTCTTTTATCTTTGAATTAAACCACATAACTCGTTCATCTTCGTGTTTAAATTAATTAAATCACTCAACAAACAAAACCCCCCTTTTAATTACTATATTCCTAAAAAGAAAGTTATTCCTTTCCCTGTGGATACGAACTCTACTTCACCTATACTACGTATAAGTGTTAGTATTGAATTTATTTTGAGTGCACTCACGACAAAGTGCACGTCAAACACCCCTAACATTAATATAGAGACAAGATAAGGGAAGAAATAATACTCAAGAAAATCGAATGGGCAAACCAAGAATCAGGAGTTTGGCTCCTCAATTGGAGACTAAACATGAAAGAAAAATAAAGAAAACACTTTTCTACAATGAGTTTATGTATATGGGATAGTGGATATCTCAATAAGAAGAAGAAGTGTATATTTATAGGTGTTTGGAGGCTACCCGGACGGGTGTCCCAAATAGTAACTACGCAGGTTAAGAAATCATGTCATACCCGATAGGGTATGTCGGTATACTCGAGCGGGTATAACGCCAAATCTTGATGAAAATATCCTTGCACGTTCAATTGTTCTCCGAATCTGATTTGATACTCGAGTCAGGTCAATACCCGATCGGGTATTGCATATACCTGATCGGGTATATGACTATATTAGGTTTTTCTTCTTTTTCCTTGTCCTCTTGCACCTTGATTCTTAATTTGGGGTTACTTACGTTCATTCATGATCTTTTGGTTGATCTTTGATCGGTTGGTGCTCAGAATAATCTAATCCAAACAAACTATAACTAATACTATCGTAATACACACGTTAAAAGATTGCCAAGTAAATGTGCAAATACTATAACAGCACACATTAAAAATTACTTAAAAGTACAAACATACACACTACTACAAATCAAACAAAATCACCCGGCCCCTATTATAGGTAGACTCATTTAAAGGTAAGGACAATCTCTGAAATGTATAGTAAAATATCACAAACAAGCAAGCATATAAAATAGAGAACAAGGGGCACACATTCGAAGATTAATGTGATCGATATAAAGAAAGACTTGGGTACTGAGTATGGGAGAGAAAAAAAGCACACATACACATATACTAGTACTGGTATATAATATCTGGCAGCATGATCATGAGTGGCGTACGAGAAGCTGCACAGCTGGATCGTCAAGTACAATCATGGTGTTTAAATCCCATCCTCCCTCTCTGAAGATCGAAGAAGACCCCCAAAGTCTGCTGCTGTAAGGCTCCAATGACTGGTATGTCCTCGTCTCTCCTATTGGGAGTGAAAGCTAAGCACACCTGGGAGTTGTCGGGATTGACTGGATACATGACGGCGGAGGGATCCAAATCAACCACCGTATTATCACCAAACGTGAAGCTTATAGAGGGGGTGATACGTCGTACATCGGCGGCGGAAAGGGTTTTGAGGTTGTAGCAGTTGTCAAAAAGAAGGGGGTCAGAAGTAGCGGGAGGCGCTCTCGGGTAGCCTTGCATGAGATGCGTGAAGGAGTCGTTCAGAGCTTTGTAGATTGTAGGGGGCAGCAAGCTGATCGGGGTTGCTGTCTCGACCGTGGTGTCGAAGGCGAACAGCGGTCTGGTAACATTCCTAGTAGTGTTAGATGTTCTCTCTCGCTCTGTGATGGTATAATTCAGTTTTCTTCCGTTCACACTTATAGCTGAGACCTTAGTGGTGTACCACATTGCGTGAGGTTCGTCGGGCGTCTTGTAGAAGTAGGTGTAGTTCATGACCGTCGCCGCCTCTTGTTGGCATCCGAAGGTTAAGTGCCCGCCTGCCCCGTTTACTGTGGTAAGGCAATAGGAGAAACATTTCTCCAAGCCGCGGCTTTCGTTAGATGCCGCGGCTTGTTGGTAAAGAATGGAGAGGTTGCCGCCTTTCCCCAGCCCCATCGCGCCCGCCTCTACCCCTCCTCCTGAAAGATAACTACTCGCGTTGCCGCACCAGAAAACGAAGTCATTCAGGAGCACCACTGCCTCCGCACCGCCACCGCCTGCGGCAAAGCTCAACTGGTCCTTCCCCAGACGGCCCGGAGCGTAGGAGTATCCCAATTGGTACTCACAAGGACTTGTGGAATTGCGGCACTCCGGGCCACTTTCTTCGCCCTTGACAGCAGCGAGGGCGGAGCAATATCCCGAGCTACATGGGAGGTCGGAGTAGGTCTCCGAACTTGAATAGTTGAATATGGGAAGTTGCTCGGAGCAGCCCTTGCACGGCTGGCACTGAATCCACGTGAGGTCGATGGCCGTGTCCAGGACTAGGCTCAGTTTTGAATTTCTGCTCCCGAGTTCAACCTGCACAGCGTGCTGTCCGATGATCCCGGATGATTTCAACTTGTTCAACACCTCCAGCCTCACCCCCTTGCCACCTAAGCTCCATCATCATGAATAATTAACACACAAATTGAAACTACACATAACAAAAAGAGTGAAATTGCCTATATACACAAATTGAAACTCATAATATTCCCTCGACCCCAAATTAACTAAAATTTGCTGGTCTGGTCTGATATGAACTGATCTGGTGTGGTCTGGTAAGCCGCCTCTTGGCTCTAACTCCATCATCATGAATAATTAAGATGCAAATTGAAAGATGAAACTGTACTTAACACAAAGAATGAAATTGCCCATATACGCAAATTGAAATGGTAATACTCCTTCAGCCCCAATTTTTTTTAAAATTATGTATAAACAACTATGAAAAGTATATAAATATACCGAAGTTATATAAAATATTTTTACTCATTTTTCGATTTATTATCACTAAAATTTTATTTTTTTCTTTGGTCCAATTTGTTTTTCCCAATTGTGAATTGTGTTATCAATTTGTGATTTCGTATTATTTTCCTTCATTCAATTAAATTTATCCACTCAAAGACTGTAAATATTTTCAAATTTATCCACTCAAAGACCGTAAATATTTCAATCGGAGCCCAAATCATCGAGTGGATCATCTCGATTATGAGAGGCGCATTATTAGCTTTAGACTCACTTAATATTGCCAACATTTAAGTTGATCCGGGATAAGGTCTATGCCCCCGTACTTCTTACTTATTTTTAATAATAATAATAATAATAATATACTTCGTATTATTATTATTATTATTATTATTATTATTATTATTATTATTATTATTATTATTATTATTATTATTAAAACCTCTAAATGGATGTGGAGTTAGTCCTATAATTACCTCCATTAGAAACACACATATTCATACTTTGCCTAAATTGCGTCTATCTAAGTGGAAACGTAAGGGTGGATATATACGTACAAATAAGAATGTAAGTTACCTTCCAGAGATGCACTGCAATTAAAGGAAACAAGCGTTGCTAAAATCAGAACAAGCAGAATGAACATATTTGAAGCTTGAAGAAATTTCGAAGCCCCATTTTCGTTTATTTTGTCAGAAGCCATCATTTTGAGTAGGAAAAATTGATAGTAATAATCCCAACTATTGGCGGTCCGCTCATAATAATCCCAACTATTGATTATTCCAGAATAATCCCAACATTAAGGACCTTCTGCCAATAATGGTCCCTATGAATAAATTCTTGTGGTTTCTAAAGTGGATGAGATGAGATATAACAAGTAATCCCTATAAATAATCTCAACTTTTAATTATTACGCTTAATTTCTATGTAAAATTCACTTTTTTTTAGAGGTAATATCTGGTCATGGACCATTATTGGCGGACAATCTATATAGTTGGGATTATACAAAAATAATCAATAGTTGGGATTATTTTCAGCGGACCGACAATAGTTGGGATTATTATTTTCAATTTTTCCTTATTATTATTATTACTACCTACTCGATTTCAATATGTGAATTTCATTGGTTTTGTTATGATATGAGCTAGGGCCAGGAGGCGGCGGAGCTGGCAAAAGGCTGAGGTTGGAGGTGGTGAACACGCTGGGAAAAAATGGAAAGCCGAGGAGTGAGCGGCTTCTGCGGTATCACCCCGAGACGGCGGCGAGAGGAGGCGCGGACCTGCCAGTGCATGCTAGCTCATCCAAGATCATCGGATGGCACGCGGTGCAGGTTAAGCTGGGGAGCAGAAAGTCAAACCTGAGCCTAGTCCTGGACACGGGCAGCGGCCTGACCTGGACTCAATGCGAACCCATATTCAACTCCACAAGTTCGGAGACCTACGCCGACGTCGCATGCAGCTCGGGATATTGTTCCGCCCTCGCCGATGCCTCCCCCCATGGTACTCGGCCGGAGTGCGTCACCATCAATAATTCCACGTGTGAGTACGAAGTAGGGAACGGCATGTCAAGTGCAGCAGCCTCTTCGGGCCATTTGGGCACGGACCAGTTGAGCTTTGCAGGCGGCGATGGCGCGGAGGCGGCGGTGCTGCTAAATCACTTCGTTTTCGGGTGCGGAAGCACGAGTTATCTTGCCGGAGGGGTGGAGGCGGGAGTGATGGGGCTGGGGAAAGGCGGCAACCTCTCCATCGTCTCCCAGCTTGCAGCCGCGGCGGCATCGTCGTCTATTATTAATAATGAAACCTCGGGGGAATGTTTCTCGTATTGCCTTACCACGGTAAACGGGACCGGCGGACACTTGACATTCGGGTGTCAACAGGAGGCGGCGGCGGCGTCGGACATGAACTACACCGACTTCTCCCGGAGCGACAATCCTGACGCAGGGTGGTACAACACCCACACCTCGGCCATAAGTGTGAACGGAACAAAACTGAATTATACCGTCGAAATACTCACATCGAATGCAACTGAGGTTTATCCTATAAATGTTACCACGGTGTTCCCCACCACCGTCGATACGGCAACCTCAATCAGCGAGCTGCCCAGTGGAGCCTACAAAGCTCTGAACGACTCCTTCACGCATCTCATGAGAGACTATCCCCGAGCGCCTCCTGACCGTTTCAATACTTTTGATAACTGCTACAACTTGTCAACCCTTTCCGCCGCCGATCAACAACGTATCATCCCCTCCATAAGCTTCACGTTTGGTGATGATACGGTGGTCCATTTGGATCCCTCCGCCGTCATGTATCCAGTCAATCCCGACAACTCCCAAGTGTGCTTAGCTTTTGCTCCCATTCAGAGAGACCAGGACCCGGCAATATTTGGAGCCTTACAACAGCAGACTTTGGGGATCTTCTTCGACATTCCTAAAGGGAGGTTGGGATTTACACACAATGATTGCACTTGATCGATCCGGCCATGGGTGGAGCCAGGGAACCCAACCGGAATGGGCTGGTACTATACACAATGGGAGAAGTTTTACACCTAATGTTTTATACTAAAGATATAGATATTTTTAAAATTTGGAGTGTGCGGGGCCGGGCCGGGCCAGAGTTGACCCCTAGATACGCTCCCGGATCCAACGCAGGTTCGTACGCCACTCATCGTCCTACCAGCTTAATTTTATGCTTTCTCCCATACTCAGTACGTACTCTTTAGTCTTCATATCACATTAATCTTCTAATGTGTTCCCCTTTTCCATCCTCTATCAATTATGCTTGTTTGTGATGTTTTACAATACATTCATATAGATTGTCTTTAACTTTAAATCAGTTTACCCATGGGTGTATGCTTGTACTTTTAAGTAATTTTTAATGTGTGCTATTATAAAAGAGTCATATTTGCACATTTACTTTCCACATTATACGGTGATTTTAATTTTGCATGTTTCCTACTTTATTCTTATGTATACTGCTGAGATGCTCCTATAATGTGTTAGGTAACATGTTATAGGAATTCAAAAATATTGTGAATTTGCAGATAAATTCACATTTTCTGAACTTGCCGACATGGGTTCTGCTTATTCCCATATTGTTACTAAATTAGCAGCCCAAGTGGATTGGTTTTGAGAAAAAATCCTATTCCATATTGATCAATGTTTAGTTATTCCATGTTGATCAATGTTTAGCCGGTCCATCACAACAATAGTCTTAGGAGTGGTGTTTTTGCCGTCCATTTAAGTCCTTGATTTGAAGTCCCCCTTGTTTTTTTACAACCACCCCTAATTTTAGTACACAATTACTACTACTAATTTACTTCCTTTCCTAAATTTTGCTATAAAATCATTATGATGATATTTGGAACTAACTATTTTTTAAGAATTATGCCCTTTATTTATATACATCATCTTAATAAACCGGAAGAGTTTTACTTAAAATTTCTTATTAAGAATACTAACAAATTTTTATAATCCAGAAGAAATCTAATTTTAAATAACCATAAATACACTAACTAACTTAGCTCGGATAGTCAAATTAGTGAGCGCTCAGATTTAGATTAAACACTAATATTACTCCGTGTTACCTTACTCTCACACACACTCACACACATATATATACACATACACAATATTTTATTGTTATATAGGCTTAGATTATTTGCACATTCAGTTACGAAGCAGAATAAGACTTCCAAAGGTGACATAAAGTAGAGTTATATTTTTTTCAATGCAGAATAAGACTTCCAAAGGTGACATAAAGTAGACTTTCAAATTGACCTACTATAGCAAGTTGTCTTTTAATAAATAAATAAATAGTATTGATAAGTCTTATTAAAATTCATACAAATTTGAAAAATAATATAAAAAAAGCATAAATGTAAAATAGATAAGTAATATAAAAACATTAAAAAATTGGCGACGGTCGGACAGAGCCTCCTAAATAAGGGGTGAATTGCACTTTTTAACTTAGTTCGAGGGCCTATTTGACCATTTAGCCTAAAATAAAAAATCAGATAATTGAAAAAACAAAGTCAAAATGTAAAAAATAGAAAATGTAAAAACCTCTTAAATAGATTTAGAAACTAGAAATAATTTTAAAGTTTCAGAAACATTGACTTTGACATTCTGAAAATTTTCACAATTTTTATCTCCATTTCTTCAAATTTTAATTAATTTTTTTTAGAGTTTTTAAAAAACTTGTTATTATAGGTCAAAAACAAAATAGAAATGGCTGAATTCATCAATTTTTAAAGTAGATGCATGTAAATGATATTTTTTAGTACATGAATTTAAGTGATGAATTGAAAATAGTAGAAGAGCTTATTTGACCATTTTCTTTTATTATTCTTTATTTACTTTTGAGAATAGTTTCCAAGAACTTCCATATGTGCATTAGGTATCATAATATATGCTAATTTTTGTTCATGCCCAAAAAAGACTTTCTGATGCATATATGAAAGTTCTTAGTCAAATTAATTGACTATTTGGCTTTTTAGCGTATCAGATTTGTCAGTTAATTGGCTTAATACCCTAACAGAGATGTTAGTTTTGAATAGTTTAATTAATATCCTACCTCCATCCCTTTTATATTGGTACAGAGAAGAGTGACACGATTATTAAAAAAAGTGAGTTTGTGTGGTTGATATTAATTGATAAAGTAAGAATGATTTAGAACCACACAAACTGTACCAAATATGATATGAGACAATATTAGTGGGACTTCCCAAAAAGGTAAAATGAGACAATATAAGAGGGGGGGAGGGAGTACTTATTGTTAGAACTTTTATTGTGAGTCAAGTTTGTCTGTAATGTCTTGTTTAAATAATTAGAATAGATATACCATTTACGGTATTAGTTCTATTATGTAATAAATAGGAGTAAAGGAATACGGCCCAAAAAGGCTTTAGGCCCAAACTCCTAGGTAACCTAATTCGGAAACCTGTGCAGCGCCTATAAATATGCGTGTCCTGCACATGTACAAGGATCGATTATTCTGCTCAGTAGCCTTAAGCTGTCAAAAGCACTTCTCGATAAATAGAAAGGAGATTTCTCTGCACTTGATATTTGCTTAAATCATTCTGTGATGTCTTCCTTTTCTGTTTATGCGATGATTTCCATTCTAAGCTGTTAGATAATCCACATAATCCGGGACCAACAACTGGTATCAGAGCCTGCTCGAGTTTGATCTGCCGCGAAGAAGTTTTCGAAGTTTCTCTGTTTTTCATACTTTTCGATATTACTCTGTTTTAATCCATGTAATCTTGTTTCTGATCGATAATCTGTAAAAGTTATACCATTAGATTCGCCTGTCAAAAACGAACCAAGGGCATATCTTAGTTTTGAACCAAGCTAGTTTTTTTCACTAGCTTGGAAATTACACACTTTTGGTGTAATGTTTTGTTTTATTTAAATTGGTGTAAATTGTTTAGTTTAAGATTATTCTGAGCATAGGACAGGTTGAAAGCACTCAAAGGATCAACAAATGGATCCCAAAGACCAAAAGGTGTACAAGGGAACAAGATCAAAAATTGATTTGGAAAAAAGTTCATATACCCGGTCGGGTATATGCAATACCCGATCGGGTATTGACCCGATTTCGTTGTCCAAATCAAATCTGGGAAACAAAGGATCGTGGGAGCAATATATTTGAAAAATCCGATCTCATACCCGATCGGGTAGACCGACACACCCGGTCGGGTATGAGATGACGTTTT